CCTGACAAACATCCCCTGACAGGCAGCTCCTCCTGTCCTCTTGTCCTATCGCCTGTTGCCTCGCAGAAGGGGCTGACCCCCACCTGGCTCCAGCCTCCTGTCAGGGAGTTGTGGACAGGGAGAAGGTCAGCCTGTTACAATCTGCTTAAATATTGCAGAAAGAACTTTTAGATTCCATTATTCCCTTGAGCAAAAATAAAACTCACACAAGTTATCTGTTCATATCAAAACTGTTTTTATTAATTGCTAAGAGATGCAAAGAGAAAGAGGAAAAATAAGAAAAGGTTGGAAAATGCTAAGATCACTTTTAGAAGCAGAGAAAAGATTACCACCAAAAACTACCTTTTCTGTTGAATTGGTCTGGAGGGGGGGGGAGAGAAAGAGGAAAGCAGTTTTCTGCCTTTTTTTTTCTCTGTCTCTGCTGCTTTTTCGGTGTTATCTCTTTAGCAGCAGGGGGTCTGTTTACAGCTTCAGTTCTCTGGAATGCAGCCAGGATGTGGCTCCGCTGCTCACACCGGCCCTGTCCCAGGCTGTGCAGAGGTCCCGGTCCAGCTGCACCTCTCAGCCCTCAGAAATATGGTCAGGGTGGAGAAAACTCACGTGGGTGGCACGGTGGGTCTCAGTCCAGCCCACTTCAAGATGGCAGAGGTCCGGTCTCGGGCGGGCAGCAAACGGTGGCAGGAGAAAAGGTGAGGGCGAGGTGGGGGAGAGACCCTCAGCTGCTAGAGCCAATTGTCTTTCCCACTCCTCTTTCCCTACTTTTCCCAAATTTCTCCTCAGCTTTTATAGTGTTCAAAGGAGGTTCTGTGTGGTTTCTTGGCACGTAGCCCTGTTCAGATGTTTGAAGAGATATGATAACCATGAACAATAACAGGATCTTCTGGCAGGAAAACTCCAGTGGGAAATTCTGGTGAGAACTTCTGGTGGAAAACTGACACAGAAGTTTTGGTAGGAACTTTTGGACAGGCAGAAACAATGGCGAAATATAATTTTTGGCATTTGTATGTTATCTGTATGTTACACCCCCAGTAACCAGGACTGCAGAGAACTGAGAAGCTTTACTGGGAACACTGGGAACAGCTGGTTGGGGTGCGAACAAAAGCAGGAACAGGGGGGACACGCGACCCCCCCAAAGTGTGGGCAGGGCTTGATTGCGGGGTCCCGGCTGGGCCCAAGGCCACGGGGAGGGGCTGCGGCTGCCGGTGGCTCAGGAGCTCTGTGGGGAGAGAAAAGGGGGTGAGAGCAAAAGGGCTGGGGGGGCAGGGGGGGCCCAGAGGCTGTGGGAGAGCAAGGGGGGGGACACGACCCCCGGGGACCCCCCTTTACCTTCTCCCGCAGGTAGAAGCCGAGCCCCAGCGCCAGGAAGACCAAGCCCAAGACGAAGCCCCCGACCCCCACCAGGATCTTGCTGCGGACGGTGTCCGGTGGCATCTCTGGGGGGAGCCGGGGGGGTCAGCACCCCCAAAACCTCCCACAGACCCCACAAACCCCAGCCCAGTCTCTCCCAGCCCATGTAGGATCCCCTGAAACCTCCTGCCAGTCCCTTCCCAGCCCCTGCAGGGATCCCACCCAGCCACTCCCAGACCCTTGAGGACCCTCCCAGTCCCCTCCCATCACCCGCAGCACCCCCCAAACTCCCTCCCAGTGGCCCCCAGTGTCCCCCTTTCCCCCCCGGCCCCCCTGGCAGTGTGCCCCCGGGGCTGGGGGGGCCGGGCCGTACCCCAGTGCCGGCTGAGGGGGTGCTCCAGGCTGACGTGCTCCACCTGGCAGCTGTAGGTGACCCCGCGCCGGGGGGGGATTTCCAGCCTCACCAGCACCTGGGAGGTCCAGTCCCCGTTGGGGACCACGTCGGTGGCCACCACGTGCTCCGGCAGCTCCTGCCCATCCTGGAACCACCTCACCTGCACCGGCGCAGGGTAGAAATCCATCACGGAGCAGAGCAGGCGGCCGGGGCCGGGCTGGGAGCTCGCCGGCACCAGCGAGATGGACACGCTGGGGGGCACTGGGAGGGACGGGGGAGACACTGGGCTCAGCTGGGGGGCACTGGGAGGGAGGGGAGAGGGTTTGGAGGACATTGTGAGGGATTGGGATGGCAGTGGGAATGACTGGGATGGCAGTGGGAGGGACTGGGAATAGAGTGGGACAGAAGGGTCTGGGCTGGGGGGGCACTGGGGAGAGAGTTGGGAGATGTGGGAGTGAAGTGAGAACGACTGGGAATGGACTGAGATGGACTGGGAGTGGATCGAGAGAGTCTGGGAAAGACTGGGATGGACTGGGAGTGACTGGTGTGGCCTGGGAAGGAAGCGCTCAGGAGTGGGAGGCTGAGTGGTGGTGAGGGAAGTGTTTGCTTTGGGTCTGCCTGGCAACTGGAGCGTCATCAGAGACACGCGCTGGGATTGGCTGAGGGGCGGGAGCTCGGGGGCATCGACGCGTGGAGACGCGGGGGGGCACTGGGAGAGACTGGGATGGACTGGGATGGACTCCGAAAAACTGGAATGGACTAGGAGAGAGTAGGGGGCATTGGAAAGGCTGGGAGAGACTGGGATGGAGTGGGGGGTACTTGGATGGGGTAAAAGGCCACAGGACGGGCCCAGGGAGGGCTGAGGGGTCTGGGGTGATTCCGAGGGAGGGTTTGAGGGGCTCCAGGGTCATTCCCGGGGCAGGGGCCGAGGGGACCCGCTCTGCCCCACACTCACCTCTCCTCTCCACGGCAGGCGGAGTGTACACCTTGTAGTTGTGCCGGCAGAACCAGTCCACCTGAGCCCTCATGCACTCCATCAATTCTGGGAC